GGGGAAGGGAAGGAATCATTTATAAACATCGGAGGGCCATTTTAAACGTAATGAAATACAATAAAATAACAATAACAATAATAATAACAAGCTGTTGTAATTAGGCCTACGCTTTACAACGGGTAGGACGTTGAAGAAAGAGTCCAACTATCTATTTCAAATCCTAATCCAAACATAATATGTTAACAATTGTTAACACGTCAACTTCATTAAACTCCAAGAAGCCACTATCTCCAAACAGGCTAGTAGCAAAAATCCAAAGTTTGACGATTCGAATGGTTTCTGCTTTTTGAATTTTGAAAATGAACAAGCATTTGACATAAAACCACATTAGGACAGGACGACGTCTGTCGGGCCAGCTATTGTTTTATATATATATCTATTTTTTTTTCAATTTAGAATATTTATTTACTGATAGAGGAAATTTCTCACGCACGGGCAGTAGCCTATGTGAGAGGAATTTCATATTTAATGACTATGTCAGTATATTATTACATAACTATGGCATAATTATAAAATATGTACTGACAAAGTATTGTAACATAGTATTTTACTTACTGAAATAAACATTATTTTGATTATATTTGATAAACTACCTCCATGTGAAATTTTATTTAGATCTTTTGAGTGGTTCCCGTGCGATTAAGTAGTAGACCTATACAAACACACATCCACCATCTCATATTTACATATTTATTTAATAAATTGAAAAATAAAGAAAAGATAAGTTAATAGATTATATTTGGCTCTTATAAAATGATAAAAATTTAAGAAAAATTGTTTGATTAAGTTACCACACATAACTCGAGACTATGCTAGCAGCTGGTAAATAGAGATGCTAAAACAGCTCTTTAGGCGAATATTGGGCTCTTCCAGGTGGTACATATTACTATAACAAGAATAGGATTTGTTTATAAGCCATTAACACCGATTTGAACAAAACATTGTAAAATCCTTTATCAAACAATGGGTCGCTAGTGGCACTCACGCTACTACCAGGGTCGCTTCTGGCACGATTTTTGCTGGGTCGCTTCTGGCACGGTCGCTTCCGGCACGTAATCTTCACATCACTGGCCCAAATGTAAAGGTTATTAGTATAAGATTCAGGCCAGTTACGTCATTTTCTTATGTTCATGATCCATACCGTTTCTGCTCTAATATTCGTGGAAGACACAACAACCCTAAAATGTTGTTACTCTATGCTAAAAATGAAAGAGAATAGTATACAAGTCACATATTGAGATACTTTAAGATCATGTTTACCAACCTACACGTGCCTGTTGCTGTTGATAGCACTGGCGATATTTCTGGTGTTTACGTCCCGGCATCTGTTAGGTTCGACCCTAGACTCAGCATCACAGCTGTTCTTCCCTTTGACATCCGCCGTCTGTCTACCTTCACCTGCAATCTCAGAGCACCCAGTGCTTTGAGGTCCTTTAATAATTTTTATACAAACTTCATTTCTAAAAATTTACCTGCAAATGAACAAAAGCTTATCACGTAAATAGTCCGATAACAAAATTTAGGTGGTTTGAAAGTGTTTTGCATGATGTATGTTACAGCTGATCGACGTTTGAGAAACATCAGCTGTTCGGGTTGGATTAAGTTGAAGGGATTCTTTCCCCTAAAAGCACCTAAATTTTGTGGACGGAGTTACAAGAAGGAATAGAGATATCTTTACGACGTCATGTTGAAAGGCGAGGAAAGGGTGAGTGAAATATGAATGAGATGACAGCTTTGTTACTGACGACAGTTGATCAGCTGATGAGTGATGACTGCAATTACGTCATACAGTACCATTAACATAAGAAAGTTAAATTTAACATCCTAATGTAAAATCTATAGCTGGTTTTTTAGCGTGTTTAATGTTGCATTTTAGAGTGGTGTTGTCTATTAAATATTTTTCTCTTTGTTAGAAGTAATTTGACAGTGTTCCTGTTCCCTCCAATCTTTGATTCTAATGTGAGTGGATCAGTAATAGCTTCATTTGCTTCAAATGTGTATACAGTTGGGGAAATACTAGGAAATAAAGAGAGGACACAATTAAAATTTATATGAAGTCAGAAACATGCGTTATGTGAATTGAATACCATATCTATAATATGGTATGATCAACCACTAATATAGTTGGTTTATTTGACTCCTTCTATCTTCTCGATTTCACCATTCAATGTAGACTTGCACAAATTAAAGACATTCTAACAATAAAACTACCATTTCTCTAGTCATTTGTTCATACGAACGAGTTTGTAATAGTATATTACGTTACTAGTCCTGAAAATAAGTGTTTACCGGACGAGTGTGGTCGTTCCCGTGCGAGACGAAGTCGAGTACGGGATTACCATACGAGTCCGGTACACACATTTTGGACGAGTTACGTACGATAGTTTACGCCATACTACTAAATCCGTACAAATCCTTATATATTTCCACCAACTAAAGGACTAAAAATCACTAGTCATAACCTCTAAGAGAGGTTATGTTTTTGTTTATAATCACTCACTGCCACCTAAATACAGTATAATTCGTATAATATATATATACAGTATAATTCCTGAATGGCTCATTCAGGGCCGCAATGTATAAAAACAAATGTAAATTGTAAATGTTTTTCTTTGTAGTTTTTTGTATATTAAATTTCTGTATATATTAGGTTAGTTTAGTTTTAGTTTGACTTGAGTAAGTTTGAAAATCATGTATATGAAACTCGCTTGTAAATAAAGGCCTTTTTATTTATTTATTTATTTATTTATAATCAGCTGATTGGTGTCCGGCAAAACTCATTGCAGCACAGTAGTACGCAATGAAACCCCATTTGAATAAGCTGGCGGCAAACAGCTGTTTTCTGGACTAAATCCTTGCGTGGGAAGTTCGTCAAAATAATGTAGTGTGGCGTAAAAGTTCTTTTCATATTTTTAACGAATTAATAAAAAATTAATATATTCCCCGTTAGACGTTCTCCTTTCTTTACTGTTAGTTGGAAAATAACCAACGTTATTCTTAGCCCAACTTATTTTTCATCAAAATAATAAACGAACAAGAAATAAACAGCTGTTGGCTGCACACGCAGCTGATCCAATATTTAGCACCCAAAGTTTTGAGAACGAAAACAAGACAACACCCATTTGTAGGGCATATCCTATGGTCTAAATATAAATCATTCTAGAAGATGAATAGTGGGTTATAGCACAGAAAACATACAGTATGTTTCCTGTGGTTATAGTATGTTACGCATTGGGCGTAATAATTTATACAATTAGATTTCCCATGTTATTACGTTATGAAACATGAATTTGTTTATGTGTTTTTCATTTTGATTAGGTATAAGTGCGTCGATTTCGACTATATTTGTTTATTTCATTTAAGAGTAGAATTTACAGTATCTATTTTACTATTTGGTTATAATACCGGAGTAAAAACAATAGTTAACAATTAATTATATTTTTATTATTACTTAAACTAGTTTTAAAGCGGTTTGAATAACAAGAAGCTAACAGTAAACAAAAACGACCACTACATAAATCGGACAAAATATTATCACATTGAAATTGTCTTTGAAAAAGATTCAGGAGAGTATCTTAAATTATTTTTTTATCTCAGATACTACACATAAACATAAATATTAATTTTATACAAGAACCTTTCCCTTTTCTACAGATAAAACCGTTGAATAGCCTCCTGTTACTGGTGTATTAGGTTCGTTAAAGTTTACAATCGCACAAGAAAACGTGTCGAATGGAGTAACCGACTGATGAATATTTTCAACTCTTTCTCCAAGATGACCACAGCCACAAGCGAGCTTATGTTGTGGTTAACCGATAAAAAAAGTTATGTGATGCGGTCTGTAGGGGTGTGGTAATGTTATAGCCATGGAAGCGGCGGCAATTGACCATTAAAAGTAGGGGGTAAAAACCTCCCGGTAGGTATGAGGATATTTTATGTAGGAAGATTAGCATAATTTATCGATATAAACCTTTAAATATAAGGTCTCCAAAGTACCTCCCTTAATCGACTTCACCGATTGGAAAATGAGTGTTTGGTAAAAGTTTTACAATTTTAACTTTGATTTAGGCCTACAAAAAAGCTTGATTAAATAATTTGGATACTTCTGGTGGACTTTGTACACTTCACTTAAAATCTTAAAATCTTCAGACTATCCGTAAGGAAAATATTGACCACAGGATATGTTATGGTGCGTATGTATATTCCATGTTTATACTTTTGTCATAATTTTTGATTAGTAAGAGACGATTACGTATATTTCTGTATGTAGTGCGAGAGTCGTAGAGTGTGTGTTTTGATGTTTTATTTTTGCTCAATCACATTAACCTTCTATAGGTTTGTAAAAAAATCGTCCATAGCCGTTGAGGACGATAAACCTACATTGGAGAATGTTTAATCTATGCTAATACTAAGACATACATGATTCCATATCTACAGCACTATCAAAGTACAGTCCAATAGTCAATGGTACAGTATGCTTTATTTTGTTTACACATACAAATTAATTTAAATATTATCAAGTAAAGTATTTCAGTAGAGCCACGTTTACACTAATGTTTGAAACACTCGTTTAAAACCTGTTTACAACAAGAAAAACAAATTTTATTGATAATCCTTCGACGTTGTCAACAGTTTTTTCAATGTTTACAAGAATTCTTTTCCACAATTCGACAACAGACCAAAGAGTATTGTAAGCATTTGATGTTTTTTTTATCACAACACATGGTCAAAGCCCACGTTTACACTAGAATTTACGACGAAATTTTGACAACAGCTGATCATATAAATCAACAAAATCTGAAACTGTGAACTCTGGTAAGCGGCTTGCCAAAGTACTAATGAAGCTACTGGTGTAAACATACAGCACGAAACTGGCGGCACTAATAGACTATAGTACGGTTTAACAATGATTCCAACAATAGACAGTTGCTCAATGGAGCATTGTTGACCTCCCCCCCTCTCCGAGCAGCTGATCTGTCAGTCGTGCGCTAGCGGCCGAGAGGTGAACACCGTGGAGGGACTTTATGTGACTCGCGGGGAATGTTTGTGACTGTGTTTGTGTGACCTACGTGACCCAGGATGAGTAAGGATTCCACTCTGGAGCGTCCCACCAGTCTCTATGACAACTTCAGGCCTGGAGGAAGGTGTGGTTTGCTTTTGTGGGCTTTAAACTTTAAATTATACAAGGTTTTGAGTTTGTGACAAATCTTTGTATATGTATTTCAAGACATAAATGTTTCTCTTAGGAGTACGTATATTTTAGGGCCACTCTAATAATAGATCGGATTTGTTGGTGTGATGATAGCAGTAAAGTAAAAATTTAAACTAAACATAATGTTGATATTTGCTATGCAATTTAACTTCTTGGTAGACATTGGTAATTTATACAATGTAAATCGTAAACAGTAGGATTAAAAGTAAGCATGTTTTAAATTGGCAAATACCTACCATTTGCTGAGTAAATTCGGTTTGAATATGATTCGCTATGGGCCCGAGAGTTAATTGCGCTCCTCTCCACCTACATTGCTGGAGAATATTAATTTATCTTCCTTGTAACAACCCCAAACAAACCCAAAACCTCTTGTGTCCCTGGGCCAGGGCTCACCGGAATATTTTATTAAATCTGTAATACAATAAATTACTTTCTCGTCAAGCTTCTTGGGATGTGATTTAAAGTAATATATAAATACGAAAAACACGTTTTCGACATGTAATTTGCCTCAATCACGTTGGCTTTCATTACAAAATAAGTTTAGAGAAACCACTTGTCAAGATAGTTTAATTAAAAAATATTTAAAAGCGAATCTGCTATAAATTTACCAACAAACCTTGTTTAGTCATACCATAAACAAAAATAATTAAATATAGACTGTCAGCCGTGCTGCGGTTACCATAGGTTCTGACGCACACCACTGGGAGCGCCGAGTAGTTAAATCGCAGCACAACTGATGATCTATATTTAATTATTTTTGTCTATGGTCATACTAAGGTTTTAAAGTTTAAAGTCCACAAAGTAATTCGTCCTTGTCAGTCTGCACAGCAGCGGCGCTCTGTCCGTTGGTAACCTGACCACGGTGGGTGCGGGGCGCCACCACGCGCCTCTGGTGGCGCCACCCATGGACCGCCTCAAGAGCCCATCGCAGGCAAACTGCCTCAGCACCACGGTACCTCAGAATATCGCAGCGCCACCACTGTCAGGACGCCACACACCTACCAGGACCTCGCTACGTCACAGCCGCATGATCGTGCTGTCCAGGACGGGCGCAGGTATGTGACATGTAGCCTTGAAGTGACTGATTTTAAGTATTTAAAATCAACGGTGGTTGTCTAGTATTAGAGCGCAAGAAAATTGGTTTTTCCCATTTTTGACTCTAAAAACATCAAATTTTACAATTTCTTTCCAGGCCATTATGTATAGCTTAAATCTATACTATTATAAAGAAGAGGTGGTGTCTGTGTGTGTGTGTGTGTGTTTGTATGAGCTAATCTCAAAAACTACTGAACCTATTGGGCTCAAATTGCACACACTTGAAGCTACAGTTCCGAGGATACATATAGAACTATTCCCGCATCAATATTGTCCTAGGGCTCTGCCCCGTGGGCTTTCAAAAATCGGAGGTGAGAGATTTCAAAGTAAATTTTGATTGATGGTATCCATGACAACAAAGAACAAACCTACAAAGTTTAAAAATGTAAACAAGCAGTACTAACTGTCAAATTAATTTTGATTTCACAATTCCATACAGCTGGTTCAAACATTCATTTAAATACTGCATGAATATTAGAACAGAGAGGGTAAGGATCATATTTAAAATAATGATGTCACTATCCTGAATGTAAACATTATTTAACATTACCTACTTAAATGGAGCTGTCAAACCATACGCTAATGTCACTTTATACTTACATGCCAACCCCGTACAAAGGACGGGTACTCTGCTAGTAATAAATAATTGTGTACATTGAAGCGTTATTGTGTGCCTAACGGTTACGGAGATAATTAAAAACTTTAAATTTAAAATTCCCTCGTTATTCTTAAAGGAAAAAAAACCGGTTGTATTTTGCTTATTATTGCATATATTTTAATCAAATTTGGCAGTTTTGTTTATTTCATACTAAGCTATCAATATTTAAATAAAAAACACACCTCACCTTCCCTGTAGCAGCAAACCTACTAACTCATTAAAATAAATGTTATTTAAATAGGAAATAAATCTGGTAATTTTCTCGGATTATCTTATTAGAAATCCAGCCAGGTAAATGAAAATTCGCTTAGTCTACAGGTTTGCTGCGGCGGAGGTATTGTCTTTGTTACTGACTAATGCTATAACTGTGTGTTCAGCCATTTTAATAGTCAAAAGTAAGAGACGTTTTATTAAACCCCTAATCAACAAGGACAGCTGGGTCCAGTTTCAAACCATAAACAAATTTATTGCCTTTCTAATGGTCAAGCCGGCACCTCCGTTCTGTTTGATACCAATACTATACCAATTCAGCAATCTACAACTTCTGACTGAGACTATGAGAGTTGGAGACCCACCAACCGATGGTTTTTAGCAATGTGAAAATTATGTGACCTGAGGGTTTTGAGCCCACTTTAATTGTTGGTCTACTGGCTTAAAAAGATAAAACAAATTAGTCTCTGACTAGTTATTGAATTAGAGGACTCCCTTTTGCAAAAGCTATACCATGGCTAATTAACTGTAAAAAAAATCAAAGAACCATTCATACTTTTCGCTTCAAATAAACTGAAGCGTCACATGGTTTAAAAATACATTATATTTCGTCTGTTTAATCAGCTGAGCAACTGTATGAAATTGAATAATTTTACGGCGATCAGATGATCGGTTTCATAACACATGAAGGACGCCAATATACATTTTATATACATACTAGCTGTACCCGCGGGCTTCGCCCCGTTTAACTTCATAAATATTCGCATGGCTCATTCACGTCCTGGTTGAAGTTCGTTCGCTACGCTCACTCACCTTTTGGTTGGAAATTAGCTGTTGTTATAAATTTAAAAAAATAATAGTACTGCACCCTGTATCCTTGTATCTTTTATGCTATTGAACATCATAGAACAGAACTAACTTGTTTAATTGAAACAGCTGTTAAGATTAATTAATTACTTTTAAATATGAAAAATCATAAGATTAACATGGGAAACTCCAGAGCCACTGGGGCGGACTCACCAGGAAAATATTTACCGATTTCTCCGGATTGTACTTTGGTCGGATTTAGTTGGAGTTTCCTGTTGAAACCACAACACGCATAGTTATTTTGGCGATGAATCACTGTGGAACTTGTAGAGCAGGTCTGGTCACTAAAGTTCTTACTCAGCATTGAGTCAACCAAACCACGCGAGTGGTGAAAGCCTCTTATGTCACTAGTTTAAGATTAAAAATGTTGAATGTCACTTATTAAATTGTATGTACTCGTTATATAGTAAGAGACCAAAGCTTCGGGTAATTCCCTTACACAAATCTCTACGCACCACCTCTTTGGTGTAAAATATAAAACTGATACTACAAAGTTCATCCCTTTACTTGAGGAACGCAGTTTTTTACTATTATCGTGATTATTGTACTGAGAACCAATTAAAGCCGATTATTCATTCTCTAAGCAGAAGTTCACCCTAACTTCTCCAGGGCTTTGACAGTCAGTTATGTCTTGAGCAGGTGTCTTCAAACTTTATAAGTTGTTCTTCTCACATATCCTTAAATAGTTCATATCCTCAAAATACCCAGAAACAAGACCTACATGTATCGGTTTTAGCTATGTTGTCTCCACTGGCTGTAAAAACTCTTGGTAACACGAAATATAGGAACTAAAAACCTCTTATGGTCCTTAAAAAATATGACACCCTTTGGAGTATTCACAACTCTATATTTAGGCCGATTACGTGTACCCAGAAAACCCTTACGTCATTGTTGATGGTTTATGGATTATATATTCATCGCCTTTTCTGACTCGTGGTGTATTCGTCTGCTCAAGGTCGACTGCTTCTTCGTCGGAGGATTACAATTACAGGTCTAGACTCTAATGGCAGACCTCCAGACCAGCGTCGTGAGTTTTCGTAATCGGATTGAGATTGAGTTTGAGATCGTGACCAAAATAACCGAGGATTAAGATATTACTTTTTTTCTTTGGGAAAGTGGCTTAGGTTGAAACGAATCTGGAATATTCCAGATTTGGAAAATATTTAGTTTTTAGCATTAAATGTACTCCCTCACAGATTTGTCTTACTTATGGATTATGGTTGTCTATCAAATAGGGCCTATTTAAAAAATTAAGGCTTTTTTGTCCGGTTTATGTAGTTATTTATCTAGTTTTTTGTCCGTATTCTTGTTTGGTATTAAGTTTTTGTAAATTTACGAAAATGATATAATCATAACACACTCTACGAAACCCGATCAGAAACATCTTAGATACAATTAACCCTCCTGTTGATTTACAAGGACCACCAATAAGCATCAACTTAGTCAGCTGAGTACAACCTTTGACTAGGTACAACGATGGTACAACTTAAAAGGCATGCTTTTTATACCCTAACTTCTAAGCTAATATGTATTTTATGGACTCGTAGTATGCATTTTTATTCTACTTAACTAAAATTGTTTAAACATCTTGAACAATTGCAACAAAATTGTAAATAGAAACACATCAAAACAAGTATCATATTTCACAATGGGATGAGAAGTCTACTTTCAGTATCCAAAGACAATCCTATAACCAGATGTTGAAAAACCGATAGGACAACACAAAACAGGACCAACATCACTCAGGTTTGCTCCTGAAAAGAAATATTTACGTCTAAACCCAAATGACAGTTCATCTTCCAGACGCCATAAAAGGAGTGTCACTGGCCAACATAAAACAAAGGACATACAATCTTATAAGTTTGGGCACATAGAGTATACATGCCATCTTCCAATATAGGAACTGCTTGAATAATGTATATCATTTAATCGTTCTACTGCAAATTCTAAGAGAATTGATCACGTCTACTTATTAAGCTGTGATTTTGGTCAAGTCAATTGGTATTTAATTCGTCACGCCACTGCCTGTCGGAAGCTGCTTCTGATAATTATCTTATTACTCTGGACACACAGGGGATGTCAGGGTGTCAATTATTGGTGCTTGTTTCCGGTAGGCACTTCCTTGTCAAACAATTTAAAGTTCAATTACTGCGGTGCAGTCAAGTGTGAAAGACGGAGAAGACCTCGAACTAGCACAGAGTAGAGAGACCTGAGAAGACACGGAATATATATGTCTTTGTCTTACAGTATTTTCTATGATAATAAGGATTTCATGATTGCCTAGATTGGGAATAAAAAAATTAATGTCACTGGTAAAAATATTAAATGAAGTATACTATTCGACTTTATGATTGTATCCGGATTAGCTAATCATTGCCTGCTTAAGGTAATCCGTTAGATTGAACTTGGCAATAAGTATAGGTTCACAGTTACCATCATCATGCTTATTTCCAGCCTGATGGGCGCCTAAACTTTGTGAAGTTTTGATAATGATATCACCGAAAACAGTGTATTTAAATTACTTTCTACATCTTATATAGTATCAAAATATTTCCTTAAATAATTACCTGTTCAAATTTTTAAACCGATGAACGAACAAGCTAATGGATTAATCAAAACCCATAATAGGTACGACATTGAGAAGAAAGTGCTCCTCAAAAAGTGGTCCATTTAGAAACTCTAGTCAAAATTAGACCTGTAGTATTTACTTTGTGACTTGTTCTTTAAAACCAACTCCTCTAAAGTTCAGTGAGCTTCATGAAGAGACTCTAATGAGTCTTTGACTCGAACATGTGTACAAACACGACACAAGTGTTGCTATGGTGACGTCAGATATGTGTCTAACCTCAAATATAGCGTTGCAATGTTTCCAACATCTTTCTTTATGTACAATCAAATAAATGTATGTAAGTGCGTGAGTCCTCTATGAATGATCGAAACCAATCGGATGATCCGATCGTCGTAAAACGTTCTGTATTTGCCTGGGAAGGTTTCGGTCTTCCCATCATTCTCTTTCCCGATTTTGAGTGTTGCTATGTTACGCTAATGATGGTTATTTTATTTATTGGTTTCCATGGAGACAACAATAAAGTTGCAATTATAGCTTACAGCTGATTGGCACAGGCGAATTTAATATAATTTGTTATAGCGAGATAACAAAAATATAATAAATCGAATAATGTATTATGTTTGCTCTTTAATAAGTTTTGCTGTAAAAAATTCCTT